AAAACATTTAAAATAAATAATTTTTTAAATATTTATTTTTAAATTTATGTTTAATAATTTAAACTTAATTATTTAATTTAAATTTAATAATTTACTTTAATACAATTTTTGACCCCTATCCCAACCAAAGGATTAATATCAAACATCTGTTTAAATTTCTTCGTGTAAAAACGCCCTCATCGTAACAATTATCTGGCAGCACTGCCCAACAATTATTCTCAAACAATTGTTTTGCATTTTTTCAGTGGTCGTTCGCTCTCTTTTCTTTTTTGATAATTTTTTTGTGAAAAAGTTGTAAATTTGTGTAAAATTATAAGAAAATCAAGCTGTAAAAAGATTGTAACACAACAAACACAATGCTTTCCTTGCTACAGGAAAAGCGACCTTTAAAAAGGGCACGTTTGGGTCCACCCGATGTCTATCCGCAAGAGGCCAAACAACGGGAAGATGAATTGACACCATCCAATGTCAAACATGGATTTGCCACAATGCCACCGCTGGCCGATGAATTCGGCACAGCTCATACCTCCAATGTGAATGCGAGTAAAGTTGCATCATTTTTCAATGCCATTTTGGCGAAAAAGGAAGAGTTGATGACCTTGCAGGATACGGTGCGTAAAAAACAACAAATCAATTGTAAAGATAATTTTTGGCCGGTATCGCCGCGTACCAAGGGTGCTTTGGATGCCTGGTTTAAGGATTTGGCTGGTAATAAGCCTCTATTAAGTTTGGCCAAAAAGGCTCCGTCTTTCAATAAAAAGGAAGAGATTTTAATCACCCTGTGTGATCATCAGGTGAATATGCAAAGGGCAACTTGGTTTATTAAACTGAGCGCTGCCTATATGGTGAGTGTATCAGAGTCGAAAAATAAGAAGCGCAATTCATTTGATCCGGTGCCAGAGTGGACAAGTAATTTGATAAAATTTATGAAAGATTTACTGCCCAAATTACAGGAATACTATCATTTAAGTGAAAAGAGTGAGTATGATAAAACAATAGATGTAAAACAAAAGTTAATTGAAAAATTATTTCTTGATTTTAAAAGGTTCTCCTGCCGAGAAGGCTTTATTAAGTGGTTATGGAGCACCCTGCACCCAAAACAATAATCAACAACAGAATACCTCTTCAGCGCATCCTACCAACTCTCTCACCACTGTACCCCAATCGTTAGCCAGTCCGGTGTCTATGTTAAGTCCCCACAACAGTCAATCTTCGTCGGCTAGTGGTTTGAGTTCATTAACCGGCAGCAATACTCCCGGTGTGGGCAGTTCTAATAGTCAATCTGGTTTGCCGGGAGCCAATAATATGCCCGGTTCTGGTTCTTCTATATCAGGCATTGGCTCTAACTTTGAAGACAGTCGTAATGCTTTGAAATATTGGAACTACTGCACGCAATTAAGTAAATACATGCATGAGGAGTCACTGCTAGATAGACAGGAATTCCTTAATTGGATTTTGGAACTATTGGACAAAATGCGTACACAAGTCAGCTTTGATGAATCTTTAAAGAAATTAATTTTAACCTTTGCCCTTCAGTATATGCATGATTTTGTACAATCCGAAAGACTATGCCGTAAAATGGCCTATATAGTAGCTAAAAAATTAGCTAATCTATTGAATAATGTTATAGAACAACAGCCAAATAGTAAACAATTGCTACCGGCAGGTATCACACACATGGATGTGGATGAGGACAGCGATAAGAAAAAGGCCAACTTGGATCCCTATGAAAGCGCCATTAATGAATATCTAAATTGTCCCCATCATCGTGATATTATATTGTATTTAAGCACTATTTTACAAATTATAACCATTGAATGTCCCACTGCCATGGTTTGGTGTGGCATAGGTGAGAATCGTATACCAGCCGCTTTGTGTGGTAGTCCTTTGGATCATCTACCCATAGCACCCTCCGCTTTGCCCATGCCCTCCAAGTGCACCTTAACAAATGCTGAAGTGCGTCGCCAGCTTAGATGTACAGAGGCTGAAATTGTTTTACGCTCTAAACATGCTGAAAATCGTTGGTTTGCTGAAAAATGGCAAAATGCAAATAAGAATTCTTATACTCATGTCTTGTCGATACTGGATCATTTGGATACTCATTGTTTTGATTTAATGGATCAAACGAATTCGATAGATTCCTTATATGCTAGTATTTTTCAACCATTTGTTAGTGTGCGCCGTGAAATGGGTGCCAATGGTGAGATGAAAGAGATAAGACAAGAATACGATGCCAATACAGTGGATGGTACAACGGTGAAAATATTATGTGAATGGGCTGTATCGAGTCAGAGGTAAGTTGGAAATTTAATTTTAAAAAATATTAGCATTGGCCACTTTTCTTCAAAAATGTGTAGAAAATTATTGAGCAGTTTTTCAAAAAAAAGCCTTGCATTGAGCGATTTTCTATAGAAAAGTATCAGCATGGGACAATTTTCCATAAACAGTGTTTGCATTTGACAGTTTTTAATAAAATTTAAGTTGCATTGGCCAGTTTTTATAGAATAATGTCTGCATTGGCTAATTTTATATCGAAAAGAGTTTGCATTGAACAATTTGCTAGATAAAAGTATCAGCATTGAACCATTTTCCCTAAACAGATTTAGCATTGAACAGTTTTCAATAGAAATGAAGTTGCATTGGTCAGTATTTCAAAGAATAATGTCTACATTTGCCAATTTTATATGGAAAAGAGTTCGCATTAAAGCATTGGATAAATTCTCCATAAAAAGTGTTTGCATTGAACAATTTTCTGTAGAAAATTGGCAGCATTCAACAGTTTTGTGTTTGCATTGGACAGTTTTCAAAAGTAGTGAAGTTGCATTGTCCAGTTTTTTATAGAATAATGTCTGCATTGGCCAATTTTATATGGAATAGTGTTTACATTGAACAATTTTCTATAGAAAATTATCAGCATTGAACAGTTTTCCATAAACAGTGCTTGCATTGTACAGTTTTCAATAGAAATGAAGTTACATTGGCCAGTATCTTATAGAATAATGTCTGCATTGGACAATTTAATATGGAAAAGTGTTTGCATTGAACAATTTGTTATATAAAAGTATCAACATTGAACAATTTTCCATAAACAGAGTTTGCATTGAACAGTTTTCAATAGTAATGAAGTTGTATTGGCCAGTTTTTATTGAATAATGTCTGCATTGGCCAATTTTATATGGAAACGTGTTCACATTAAACAATTTTCTATATAAAAGTATCAGCATTGAACAAATTCCTCATAAAAAGTGTTTGCATTGGACAGTTTGCAACAGTAGTGAAGTTGCATTGTTCAGTTTTTATAGACTAATGTCTGCATTGGCCAATTTTATATGGAAAAGTATTTGCATTGAACAATTTTTTATAGAAAATTGTCAGCATTTAACAGTTTTCGCTAAACTGTGTCTGCATTGGACAGTTTTCAATAGTAGTGAAGTTGCACTGTCTAGTTTTTTTTATAGAATAATGTCTGTATTGGACAATTTTATATGGAAAAGTATTTGCATTGAACAATTTTCTATAGAAAATTGTCAGCATTCAACAGTTTTCGCTAAACTGTGTCTGCATTGAAGTTGCATTGTCCAGTATTTTATAGAATAATATCTGCATTCGACAATTTTATATGGAATAGTGTTTGCATTGACAAATTTTCTATAGAAAAGTATCAGCATTGGACAATTTTCCATAATACGCGTTTGCATTGGTTAATTTTCAAGAGAAGTGAAAGTGCATTGGCCAGTTTTTTATAGAATAATGTCTGCATTGGCCAATTTTATATGGAATAGTATTTACATTGAACAATTTTCTATAGAAAATTATCAGTATTGAACAGTTTTCCATAAACAGTGCTTGCATTGGACAATTTTCAATAGAAATGAAGTTGCATTGGCTAGTATCTTATAGAATAATGTCTGCATTGGACAATTTAATATGGAAAAGTGTTTGCATTGAACAATTTATTATATAAATGTATCAGCATTGAACAATTTTCCATAAACAGAGTTTGCATTGAACAGTTTTCAATAGAAATAAAGTTGTATTGGCCAATTTTTATTGAATAATGTCTGCATTGGCCAATTTTATATGGAAACGTGTTCGCATTAAACAATTTTCTATATAAAAGTATCAGCATTGAACAAATTCCCCATAAAAAGTGTTTGCATTGGACAGTTTGCAACAATTGTTCAGTTTTTATAGAATAATGTCTGTATTGGACAATTTGATATGGAAAAGTATTTGCATTGAACAATTTTCTGTAGGAAATTATCAGCATTGACCAGTTTTTATTTAGATAATTGTCTGCATTTGTTATTTTCTTGTAATACATAATATTTTAAACAAATTTCCTTGACTTTTTTTCAGATGGGGTGAACATCGTGCCATTGTGGTGGCCATACTCCTAGATAAACGTCAAATAGAGGTTACCACCCCCTCGCCCGAAGACAATAACAATGGTTTGGGTGGTGGCAACAATCCAAATGATGACAAAGATTCCATAGCCTCGGGTGCTGGTCTAATTGGTGGTCTACCCGTTTTTCAATCGGTTCTTATGAATTTTCTAGATCATGATGCTCCTGTACTCGATGAAAATGGTAGTGTAGCCAATCGTACACAATTCACAAATCTAGTACATCTCTTTAGTGCTTTAATAAGACATGATGTATTCTCACACAATGCCTATATGCATACGTTAATATCCAGAGGTGATCTTTTGGAAGGAGCCACAACAGCTACAACAACAAGCGTTGGAAATAGTTTGAATAATAATAAAAATAACAATATGGCGGTAGTGGGTAATAGTGTGACAGGACCAGTATCAAATAAACCAGTTTCTCCTGCAGTAAATCATGGTTTTGATGATGAATTTGGTGCGGGATTAGATTTTAAACACAATGAATTTGATGACTCCAATGTTGACGATGATTTGGATAAATTACTGCAGAATATAAAGGAAAAAGGACAAGCCGAAGCACCCGATAGTCCCAAGATACCAGATCATAATAATAGTGCCGGTTGCAATGAAACTAACTCCTCCATATCGAGACATTACATTTATACCAAACATTTTCCCATACCACAAGATGATCCCTCCATGATCTATAGCAGTGAATCTAATCAACGTTATATTTTACTTTTCGGAGTGGGTAAGGAACGTGACGAAAAGAAACATGCTGTTAAGAAAATGTCTAAGGAAATTTGTAAATTATTTACTAAAAAATTTAGTATTGATGTGGCCGAAGGTGGTAAAGTAAAGAAACATTCGCGTAATGAATTCAATTTCGAGAATACCACTAGTAAATGTCAAAATATGGCTTATTTTGATCAACATGTTGTGACTTCTCAATGTGCGGCTACAGTTTTGGAACAATTGAATGGTTTTGCTGTGGGCAATAATAACTATTTGCCCGTGCAGGAGCATGTAGCCTTTTTATTTGATTTAATGGAAATGGCTTTAAATATACACAGTCTGCTGGAGTTGTGTGATCAGATACTAAAGGAGCTGCCTGAAGTAGAAAATCAATTGCAGGCCAAAAAATCAAATATGGTGCGGAGTTATACCACCTCTTTGGGTCTTTATATAGTGGGTATACTAAGGAGATATCACAGCTGTTTATTACTCTCACCCGAACAAACGGTGTCGGTCTTTGAGGGTTTATGTCGCATTATTAAACATGTCAATAATCCCTGCGAATGCAGTTCGGCTGAACGTTGTATTTTAGCTTATCTAAGTGATTTATATGAAACTTGTTTGATTTTACGTTCCAAAGATCAAGAACCGGAATTTTTCCCTCAAATGTCTCATATTAAAAAGTTTAAAGACATTTTCAATCAACCCGAACAATTGGGCATGGTACCCCAATCCTACAATCCACAATTTATGCAAGATTTTTTGTCTTCTCCCAAGCGTGGTGGAAAAATTGATTCATTATGGTTAAGACAATTGCATGAATCTCCTGCCAATATCTATAGTTTTGTTTCGAATGTTATATTTGCTGTTTGTCATGAAACAGATAATGATCGTTTAAATGATATTGCTATTGCCTGTGCAGAACTAACGGCCGGTTGTAATTCTCTATCAGAGGAATGGATTGCTGCTTTACAAAGTATTTGTCATGCTATGAAAAAGACACGTTATCCACATTTATGTCAAATCGATATACAAAATAGTAAAATACACAATTCCTTGGCCGTCTTTATTTGCATATTGGTGGCTCGTCATTGTTTCTCTTTGGCTGATTTTGTTATGAAAATAGCTTTACCTACGCTGGCCAATGCTTATCCAGTGGGTGGCGAGATAACCACAGATGCGGAATCGGGTAAGTAAACAAAAAATTTTATATATTGTGTACAAAAAAGTAAGTTTTCTATAGAAAATTGTCTACACTGGAAAGTTTTCAATAAATTATTGTCTGCATTGGACTGTTTTCTATGGGAAAGTATGTGCATTGGACATTTTTTATGAAAAACAGTTTGCATTGGACTTATTTCGATATAATAGTGTCTGCATTGGTCCGTTTTTATTGAAAAGTGTTTGCATTTGAAAGTTTTCTATAGAAAAGTGTCGGTTTTATATAGAAAACTGTCAGTATTGGTTAGATTTGTATTGAAAAGAACCAGAATTGGACAGTTTTCTATGGAGAAGTTTCTGCATTGGTCAGTTTTCTATAAAAAAGTGCAAGCATTGGTCTGTATTATATGAAAAAATGTTGGCATTGGCGTGTTTTCTAGAGAAAGTACCAGAATTGGAGAGTTTTCTATAAGTAGTTTCTGCATTGGTCAGTTTTCTATAAAAAAGTGCAAGCATTGGTCTGTATTCTATGAAAATATATTTTGCATTGGTGAGTTTTCTAGAGAAAATTGTCAGAATTGGACAGTTTTCTATAGAGAAGTTTCTGCATTGGACATTTTTTCTATAGAAAAGTGCAAGCATTGGTCAGTTTTCTATAGAAAAGTGTTAGCATTGGTGAGTTTTCTAGAGAAAAGTTTCTGCATTTGTCAGTTTTATATGGAAAAGTGGTTATATTGACCTCTTTCTATATAAAAGTCTCAGCATTGTTTAGTTTCCTATAGAAAAGTATTCGCATTGACAGTTTTATATAGAAAAGTATCAGCATTGGTCAGTTTCCAGTAAAAAAGTCTTGGCATTGGGGAGTTTTTATGGAAAAGTGTCAGCATTGAACAGTTTTCTATGTAGATGTGTCTGCATTTGTCAATTTTCAATAGAAAAGTGCCAGCATTGGTCAGTTTTCTATGAAAAAGTGTCTGCATTGGTCCGATTCATATATAAAAGTATCAGCATTGGCCAGTTTATAACATAAAAGTATCTTCATTGAACCATATTCTATGGAAAAGTGTCAGCATTGGACAGTTATCTATGTAGAAGTGTCTGCATTGGTCAGTTTTCTATAGAAAAGTGTCAGCATTGGGCTGTTTTCTATGGAAAATTTTCTGCATTTGTAAATTTCCTATATAAAACTTTCAGCATTGGTCAAATTTCAATAGAATAATTTTTGCAATGACAGTTTTCTGCAGAATAGTGTCTGCAGTCGACAGTTTTCTATATAAAAGTGTCTGCATTGGAAAGTTTTCTATGAAAAAATGTTTGCATTGAAAAAATTTCTATGAAAAAGAGTGTGCATTGGAAAGTTATCTATAGAAAAGTATTTGCATTGGACAGTTTTCTATACAAAAGTGTCTGCATTGATTAGTTTTCTAAGAAAAGGTGTAAGCATTGGACAATTTTTTATAGAAAATTTTCAGCATTGACCTGTTTCCTATAAACTTATTTGATACTTTTAATTGATTTATCCTCATTTTTTTCTATTTTTCCAGGAGCCCGTTTAACTTGTCATTTGGTTTTAAAACTTTTCAAAACCATAGAAATACCCCAACCGGGCATGTATTCGGTCAGCACCTCTCCCAATCCTCTAAATGCCGTCAGCAGTTCTTCCAACATTAAACTCAGTTGCGATCGTCATTTACTAATAGCTGCCCATAAAAATATACCACTAGAAGCGGTATTGGCAGTGCTAAAAGCCATTTTAATAGTGGTAGATACCACTGCCTTAAAAACCCCCACCATGACTGGCAACACTTCGACGGGGGCTTTCAGTAGTGGTGGCAAACGTGGCAGCGGCTTTAATACGCCAGTTCATCCAGGCAGTACGCCCAAGAGCAATGATCGTCCTGTTGATATAAGCCAAATATTGGGTACCAGTGACTTGACAAGTTTAACGGGTGATCATGATCATGATATGTCACAACCTTTATCGACCACACCTTTAAATCCTTCGGTCTCGGGCTCGGGTGAACAAATATCACTGTTAGAGTTTGCCCAACATGTTCTCAAGCAAATATGTGCTCAGGAACATGTGCTGGAAAGATGTCTAAAGAATGCCGATAAATTGTGTGACATGATTATCGACGATATGTTAACGCCCAAACAGTCACAGTCTATATTGCATATGATTTGTTATTCAGAAGCTGAATATAGTATCATATCGGAAATGGATCAAAAATCAATGATTGTTAGAATTCTAGAGAATCTAGGTCAATGGACTTTACGCATATCATGGTTAGATTTGCAATTAATGCATAAACAAAGCATGAACAATGGCACTGAATTGACTGCTTGGTTGGATACAGTTGCTCGTGCCGCCATAGATGTTTTCCTCATGGAAGAAGTTCTAATGCCTCATGGCGGCAAGGCAGAACATAGACCTAAACCTTCTACTTGGCTAGTGGCACCATTAGTCTCTAAATTGACTCCTGCTGTGCAGGGTCGTATCTTGAGAGTGGCCGGCCAGGTGCTGGAGAGTATGAATTATTTTTCCAAAACTTCCAAAGCAGACAATAACAGTTCATGCAGTGGTGATGAACGGGAAAAGAGTAATAGTTGTGGCAGTGCCAGCAGTAGTTACAGTAATGGTTCCAATAGTGGTACACGCAATAAAAAGATGCCTTTAAATTATCAACCATTTTTGGGTCTCATATTGACATGTCTGAAAGGTCAAGATGAGTATAAAGAAAATCTGTTGGTCTCATTATATTCTCAACTATCGCAATGTTTGCAATCTTATGCTGAGGTGAGTAAGAGGAATGATATTTATTATATTCTATTTATTTAAACTTAATGATTGATAGATTATTTGTATTGTGCAGTTTTCTATAGTAAAATATCTGCATTAGACATTTTTTAGTTTGCATTGGACATTTTTCTAGTCTGCATTGAACAGGTTTTTATTGAAAAGTTTCTGCATTTGACGTTTTCTATCGAAAAGTATCTGCATTGGAAAATTTTCAATATAATAGTAATTGAATTGGACAATTTTCTACAAATTAGTGTTTGTATTGTACGGATTCCTTCGGCATTGAAAAGTTTTCTTGATAAAAGTGTCGGCATTGAGCAACTTTTTATATATAAGTTCCTGTTTTAAATCGTCTTCTATAGAAAACTGTGTGCAATGAATAGTTTGCTTTAGATAAGTTTCGGCATTGAATAGTTTTTTGTAAAAATATGTTTGAATTGGCTAATTACCTATTGAAAAATGGCTGCATTGAAAACTTTTCTATGGAAAAATTAGTCATTGAACCAGTTTTTTTTTTTTTTTTTTTTGAAAGTTATTGGCATTGGACAATTTTCAATAGAAAACTATTTGCATTGAATAGTTTTCTATAAACAAGGGTATGTATTGGACAGTTTTCTATAGAAAAGTTTCCGCATTGGATAATTTTCTATACAAAAGTGACTGCATTGGTCAATTCTCATTAGAAGTGTGTCTGCATTGAATATTTTTCTATGGAATAGTGTCTGCGTTGGCCATTTCTACAGAAACGTGCCTGCATGAAACAATTTTCCATTGAAAAGTATCTACATTAGACAGTTTTTACAGAATAGTGGTTTCATTGAATAGTTTTCAATGGAAAAGTGTCTGCATTGGACAGTTTTCTATGAAAAATGTCTACATTGGTCAGTTTTCTATAGAAAAGTCTCTGCATTGAAGTTGTTTCTATGGAAAAGTGACTGCATTAAAAAGTATTTTATAGAAAAGTTTTAGCATTGATTAGACTTTTATAGAAAAGAATCTGTATTGGTCAATTTTCCGTAAATGAGTATCTGCATTTTTAATTTTCAATAAAAAAGTGTCTGCAGTGACAAGTGCATTAAAAATTGTTCTATGAAAGTGTTCACATTGGACAGTTTTTCATAGAAAGGTGTCTTCATTGAAGAGTTTTCCATGGAAAAGTGTTTGCATTAGATATAATTCTGTGGAAAAGTGTCTGCATTGGTTAGTTTTCTATAAAAAAGTGTCTGCATTGACAAGTTTTTTATTGGAAAGTATCTGCATTGGACAGTTTTCTAGGAAAACTTACCTGCATTGAACAATTTTCTATTAAATAATGTCCGCATTGGACAGTTCTCTACGAAAATGTGCTTGCATTGAACAATTTTCTAGTAAAACGTGTCTGTATTGGACAGTTTATATAGAAAAGTGTCTTCATTGAATAGAATAGTGTCTGCATTGGGCAGTTTATTATAGAAAAATGTCTGCATTGAGTAGTTTTATATATAAAAGTGTCTACATTGAACAGTTTTCTATGGAAAAGTGTCAGCATTGAATAGCTTTCTGTATAAAAGTGCTTGCATTGTAAAGTTTTCTGTAGAAAGATGTCAGCATTGACCAGTTTTAGAGAGAAAAGTGACTGCATTGGTCAGTTTTCGATTTATAAATCTAAAATTATTCGTTTATTTTCCATTTAAGTTTGATACCATGGGTGGTGTAGATGATCCTTTGGGACGTGAAGAAATGTTAGATGCTTTACAGTTGCGTTTTTCCCTAGTGGGTGGCATGTTTGATTCTATACAAAAGAATGGCACTTCAATTACAGATTGGGCCATACTTTTAGCCCAATTGGTGTGTCAAGGTGTAATAGATTTAAGCACAAATCGGTTAGTATGAGAATATTACTTACAAATTTAGAAATATTTAATTAATCTTTTAATTATGTAAAACTAGGGAACTTTTCACCACTGTGGTGGATATGTTAACCACTCTAGTACATTCCACTTTAGTATCGGATGGTCAGTCGGAACGAGATGAAAAATTCTATTCAAATTTAATGAAAAAATTGAAAAAAGAAATTGGTGAAAAGAATAATGCCTCCATTAAGGTTATAAGACAATTACTGCCGCTTTATAAGCATCAGACAGAGGTGAGTTTGTTGTAATATAATTAAAAATTTCTAGAAATTCGAATTGTATGTTTATTTTGAAGGTTATTTCTTGTGAACCCGCGGGTGTAGATCAAAAAGGCAATAAAATCAATGATATGGATAAAAAACAATTAAGAATTTCCGACAAACAACGCATTTCTGTGTGGGATATTTTAGAGGGTCACAAAAATCCTGCACCCTTGTCTTGGGTATGGTTTGGTGCCGTTAAACTAGAGCGTAAACCTTTGACCTATGAAGAGGCTCATCGTAATCTAAAATATCACACCCATAGTTTAGTAAAACCCAGCAGTTATTATTATGAACCTTTGCCCTTACCGCCGGAAGAAGAACCTGTACCCGAGAAAATAGTGGTAATGTATTTGTTTTTTATTTTGTTTTTATTTTAAAGATTTTTTCTTTTGTTTTTTATTATTTTTTAATTTTGTTTTATTTTCTTTTTTAAACTTGTTGTGGTCCTTAAAAAGACACCTACACCTTTCTTGCAGAAGGATGAAATGAAAGCAGACACTCCTTCCTCGGTCGATCAATCTCCTAGCGCGGTGGTTAGTGGGCGAGGTCGCAAAGGCACCACACGCAAACGTAAACCTAAGAATCCTAAAACGCCGCCGGTAAATACTCAACAACAGCCTCCCTTAGCCGGACAACAAACTCAACCGGGTGCTCAACAGACAGCAAATCAACAACAGCAGCCCCAACAGCAGCAACTGGGACAACAAACACAACAGCAACAACAAGTAACGCAGCAGCAGCAACAGATTAATCCTCAACAGCAAATGGGTCAAATGCAAATGAATATGCAAATGGGTTCCAATGTAAGAAACATTGAAATTTGATTCACTTCAGTTCTCTCTATAAATTTATAAAAAATTTCAGGTCAATATGCAACAATTCAATCCCAATCAAATGATGCAACAAAATCCCAATGCCATGATGCAGCAACAACAAATGCAGGGTGTACCCGGCAATATGCAACAGCAAATGAATGTTGGAAACCCGCAACAGAATCAACAAATGAATTTTATGGGTCCGGGTGGTGCTCAAAGTATGCAACAGGGTGGTATGAATCCTCAACAGCAACAGTGGCAAGGACAAAATCAATTCCATCCCATGCAACAACAACAACCACAACAGCAATTCTATCAGCAACAGCAGAGTATGCAAAGTAAGTTTTGAAAAAAGATTTTAAACGATTTTTTATACTTTCAATACATTTGAATGTTTTTTTTTATTAGAAAGTTAAAAAATTAAACAATTTTCTATAAAAAAATGTTTGCATTGAACAGTTTTCTATAGAAAAGTATTTGCATTGGACAATTTTCTAAAGAAAAGTATTTGCATTGAATAGTTTTCTATAGAAAAGTGTTAGCATTGGACAGTATTCTATGGAAAATTGTCAACATTGAATAATTTTGTAAAGAAACATTTAAGCATTGGACAATTTTTATTGAAAAGTGTCAGCATTGGACAATTTCCAAAAAATATTGTTTGTATCGGACAGTTTTCTATGTAAACGTGATAGCATTGGTCAGTTTTCTACAGAATAATCTCTGCATTAAACAGTTTACTCTAAAAAAGTATTTGCATTGGACAGTTTTCTAAAGAAATGTGTTTGCATTGCACAGTTTTTCACGTAAAAGTGTTTGCATTGGACAGTTTTTATGGAAAATTCTCAGCATTGGACAATTATCTATTGAAAAGTGTCGGCATTGGGCAATTTTATATAAAAAGTGTTTGCATTGAAACATCATTGGAGAATTAAAGTTAGCATTGAACAGTTTTCTATGTAAAACTGACATAATTGGACAGTATTCCGCAAAAGAGTGCTTGCATTGAACAGTTTTCTATAAAAAAGTGATAGCATTGCACAGTTTTACTTGTAAAATTGTTTACATTGGACAGTTTTCTATGGACAATTGTTTGCATTGGACATATTTCTATAGAAAAGTGTTGGCGTTGGACAGTTTTCTATGAAAAAGTGTCAGCATTAGACAGATTTCTATGTAGAAGTGACAGCATTGGACAGTTTTATACAGAAGAATGTTTGCATTGAACATTTATCTATAAAAAAATGTTTGCATTGGACAGTTTTCTATATAATAGCGTTTGCATTGGACAGTTTTCAATATAAAAGTATTTGCATTGAATATTTTTTATTAAAAAGCGTTTGCGTTGGACAGTTTTCTATATGAAAGTGTTTGCATTGAATATTTTTTATTAAAAAGTGACCGCATTAAATCATTATTTAAAGAAAAGTGTTAGCATTAGACAGTTTTTAATGGAACAATGTCAGCATTGGATTCTTTTCTATAGAAAAGTGTTTGCATTGAATAATTTTTTCATTTAATGTGTCAGCATTGGACAATTTTCTATTGAAAAATGTTTGCATTGAACTATTTTCTATTCATTTTAAAATTTTCCCATTCCAGTGAATCGTTTCGAACGTCCCCAAATCAACAACTCCAAACAGGCTCTACATAATATGCTGCGCCAGCGGCAACCTACATTCAATCAAAACAATCCCTCCTTCAATCCCATGCAACAGCAGCAACAACGTCAAGGCCAGGGCATGCAACCGCAACAACAACCGGGCGCCATTAATACAGTACAACAGCAACAACAATTGCAACAGCAGCAATTCGGACGTACTGGAATGAGAACTATGGCACCCAATCAAATGCCCGGAGTGGCGCCCAATCAAATGGCACCCAATATGAATGCCGTGGGTATGGCTGGACAAGGCATGGGAGCACAAAATCCCATGATGCAACAACAAATGTCAACGCAGGGCATGAATCCACAGGCAACGGCACAAATGGGTATGAATCAAAGTGGCAATATGATGGGTGCGGGTAATGCCAACAATCCGAATGCCATGATGTCGGGACAAAGTAATACGGGTATGGTAAATGCGGGGGCAATGATGCAACAAAATGTGGGAGTGGCGGGTGTAGGCAATGCAAATGTTAATCAGGGCATGGTTAATGCGACGGGACCAGGGCAATTCCAAAACTTCAATCAATACCAACAGGGTATGAGTCAAACGGGCGGTCCCAATCAACAGGCCAATCTAATGGGTGGCTTTAATCAAATGAATCAACGTAGTAATCCGGCAGAATTTATGGCTCAACAGCAAAGAGGACCGGGTGGTCCTATGGCAGGCAATAGAGGTCAGTATATGAATCAAACACCCAATGTTACCATGAACAATATGATGGGTCAGGGTGCGGTGCCGCCTTATCAAAGGCAACAATCAACGGGTGGTAAACCAGGTGTACAACAACAACAATTCCAACAGCAGCAGCAACAACAGCGTATGCAACATCAAATGATGCAAATGCAAGGTAGGAAGAGCTGGTATTTAACAAATTTGACATACATTTTATAAATAAATTTCTTCATAATTAACTTTTCTTAGGCATGGGACCGCAGAGTAATGCTGCCGGTGGCATGGGCCAAGCTCAAAATCAGGCCCAACAACAAAATCCCAATTTAGTGGCCCAACTACAACGTCAAATGCCCAATCAACCCAATATGATGGGCCAACAATACCAACATCAACCACCGCCTTATTAGGCCAACATTAACCGACACACAACCCCCACACACCCTCGCCCCTCCCCCCCCACAAACAATTCAATAATTGTCTTTTCATTTCAAACAAAACAACAAATACAAACTTGTAATTTAAGTTCACTTATTTAGTTTTTTAGGTTTCAACAAATTTATATAAACACAAGATTTTTTTTTTGAGAAAATATTTATACATAGTATTATATAAAAATGTATTTGGATTTATTTAAATAAAAATAAAATTATAAATAGTTGATAAAAAAAATAAAATAAGTCACAGGATGCAAATATGATGAATGAGTAAATAAGAAGGTACCAGCAAGAAGATTTTGGAGATTATACAAATTAAAGTTGCAAATCAGACAAATGGATGTTGAAAATGGATTCAATTTCTTAGTGAAGTGGTTAGTAGCTGAGATCTTATTTCGAGCGACAATCAATTGAGAAATCTTTAAATCTCTATGAGAAAATCTTAAACACAATCAGCTGTAGTAAAAAAAAAAATCCAAAGGAATCTTTGGCAATCTGTACTTTTTTTAAAATTCAAAATTTGTCTTTATATGTAAAACAAAACAACGTAGTTTAAATTGGTTACCAATATCATCAAAAATAACTGTTAAACTTTCCATTTCTTAGGTTCAACATTTCACAAAACAGGATTAGTTCTTCAGACTCTATAGAATCATAACTTCATAAAAAAACACAACATTAATAACCTCGCAACGACCTAAACTGTAATATTCAACGACTAGACGAATACTTTTTAAGTTAGGATGGGAAGTACGCAACATGTTATACGATTCATTGTCACTTTCATACTAGTATGGTCGCTATAACTGCTCGATAGCAATTAAAATGAACAAAATAGCGCACAATTGAAACTTCAAAATTCCCCAGAATAACATCATCCAGTATAAACAAAAACTGCAGAAAACTGATAAATATTTCCACAAAAAGCAAGAATAATTCAGACACAACTTGGTCTAGCATAAAACCTACTGTTCTCAACAATATGTCATAACATTCAGTAGTGGTATTATTACAACCTACATACACCAAATTAACATTTCCTGACTTCAACACTTCATCATGAAAAATGGCCATAACGCGAACCCTAGTTTTAACAAAGAACTCAATCATCTCTCCTAACCGGTTTTAAAAATAATTTCAGTGATACAGGTATTTATAATTTTAAACAAAAATGTGCTTATTTTAAACATTTCTCAGTTATGATTAATATTAGATTAGATGTTACTAACATTCAGAACTACAGCTGAATTACCGATGAACTAGAACTGAACTAAAACTGAACTAAAACTGAACTAGAACAGAACTAGAACTGAGCTAGAACTGAACTAAAAATGAACTGGAACAGAACTAGAACAGAACTAGAACAGAACTATAACAGAACTAGAACAGAACTAGAACAGAACTAGAACAGAACTTGAACAGAACTAGAACAGAACTAGAACAGAACTAGAACAGAACTAGAACAGAACTAGAACAGAACTAGAACAGAACTAGAACAGAACTTGAACAGAACTTGAACAGAACTGAACAGAACTAGAACAGAACTAGAACAGAACTAGAACAGAACTAGAACAGAACTAGAACAGAATTAGAACAGAACTAGAACAGAACTAGAACAGAACTAGAACAGAACTAGAACAGAACTAGAACAGAACTAGAACAGAACTAGAACAGAACTAGAACAGAACTAGAACAGAACTAGAACAGAACTAGAACAGAACTAGAACAAAATTAGAACAGAACTAGAACAGAACTAGAACAGAACTAGAACAGAACTAGAACAGAACTAGAACAGAACTAGAACTGAACTAGAACAGAACTAGAACAGAACTAGAACAGAACTAGAACAGAACTAGAACAGAACTAGAACTGAACTAGAACTGAACTAGAACTGAACTAGAACTGAACTAGAACAGAACTAGAACAGAACTAGAACAGAACTAGAACAGAACTAGAACAGAACTAGAACAGAACTCGAACTAGAACAAAACTAGAACTAGAACTAGAACAGAACTAGAACTAGAACAGAACTAGAACAGAACTAGAACAGAACTAGAACAGAACTAGAACAGAACTAGAACAGAACTAGAACAGAACTAGAACAGAACTAGAACAGAACTAGAACAGAACTAGAACAGAACTAGAACAGAACTAGAACAGAACAGAACAGAACAGAACAGAACAGAACTAGAACAGAACTAGAACAGAACTAGAACAGAACTAGAACAGAACTAGAACAGAACTAGAACAGAACTAGAACAGAACTAGAACAGAACTAGAACAGAACTAGAACAGAACTAGAACAGAACTAGAACAGAACTAGAACAGAACTAGAACAGAACTAGAACAGAACTAGAACAGAATTAGAACAGAATTAGAACAGAACTAGAACAGAACTAGAACAGAACTAGAACAGAACCAGAGAGGAACTAGAACAGAACTAGAACAGAACTAGAACAGAACTAGAACAGAACTAGAACAGAACTAGAACAGAATTAGAACAGAATTAGAACAGAACTAGAACAGAACTAGAACAAAACTAGAATAGAACTAGAACAGAACTAGAACAGAATTAGAACAGAACTAGAACAGAACTAGAACAGAACTAGAACAGAACTAGAACATAACTAGAACAGAACTAGAACAGAACTAGAACAGAAGTAGAACAGAACTAGAACAGAACTAGAACAGAATTAGAACAGAACTAGAACAGAACTAGAACAGAACTAGAACAGAACTAGAACAGAACTAGAACAGAACTAGAACAGAACTAGAACAGAACTAGAACAGAACTAGAACAGAACTAGAACAGAACTAGAACAGAACTAGAACATAACTAGAACAGAACTAGAACAGAACTAGAACTAGAACAGAACTAGAACAGAACTAGAACTAGAACAGAACTAGAACAGAACTAGACCAGAACTAGAACAGAACTAGAACAGAACTAGAACAGAACTAGAACAGAACTAGAACAGAACTAGAACAGAACTAGAACAGAACTAGAACAGAACTAGAAAGAACTAGAACAAAAAACTAGAACAGAACTAGAACAGAACTAGAACAGAACTAGAACAGAACTAGAACAGAACTAGAACAGAACTAGAACAGAACTAGAAACAGAACAGAACTAGAACAGAACTAGAGCAGAACTAGAACTGAACTAGAACAGAACTAGAACAGAACTAGAACAGAACTAGAACAGACACTAGAATAGAACTAGAACAGAACTAGAACAGAATTAGAACAGAACTAGAACAGAACTAGAACAGAACTAGAACAGAACTAGAATAACTAGAACAGAACTAGAACAGAACTAGAATAGAGCTAGAACAGAACTAGAACAGAACTAGAACAGAACTAGAACAGAACTAGAACAGAACTAGAACAGAACTAGAACAGAACTAGAACAGAACTAGAACAGAACTAGAACAGAACTAGAACAGAACTAGAACAGAACTAGAACAGAACTAGAACAGAACTAGAACAGAACTAGAACAGAACTAGAACAGAACTAGAATAACAGAACTAGAACAGAACTAGAACAGACTAGAACAGAACTAGAACAGAACTAGAACAGAACAGAACGGAACAGAACCTAGAACGGAACAGAACTAGAACAGAACTAGAACAGAACTAGAACAGAACTAGAACAGAACTAGAACAGAACTAGAACGGAACAGAACTAGAACAGAACTAGAAACAGAACTGGAAACAGAACTAGAAACAGAACTAAAACAGAACTAGAACAGAACAGACTAGAAACAGAACTAGAACAGAACTAGAACCTAGAAAGAACTAGAACAGAACTAGAAACAGAACTAGAACAGAACTAGAACAGAACTAGAACTGAACTAGAACAGAACTATGTAAAACAGAACTAGAACAGAACTAGAACAGAAGTAGAAATAGAACAGAACTAGAAACAGAACTTAGAACAGAACGACAGAACTAGAACAGAACTAGAACAGAACTAGACACAGAACTAGAACAGAACTCGAACCGAAACTTAGAACACGAACTAGAACAGAACTAGAACAGAACTAGAACAGAACTAGAACAGAACTAGAACAGAACTAGAACAGAACTAGAACAGAACTAGAACAGAACTAGAACAGAACTAGAACAGAACTAGAACAGAACTAGAACAGAACTAGAACAGAACTAGAACAGAACTAGAACAGAACTAGAACAGAACTAGAACAGAACTAGAACAGAACTAGAACAGAACTAGAACAGAACTAGAACAGAACTAGAACAGAACTAAAACAGAACTAGAACAGAACTAGAACAGAACTAGAACAGAACTAGAACAAACTAGAACAGAACTGGAACAGAACTAGAATAGAACTAGAACTGAACTAGAACTGAACTAGAACAGAACTAGAACAGAACTAGAACAGAACTAGAACAGAACTAGAACAGAACTAGAACAGAACTAGAACAGAACTAGAACAGAACTAGAACAGAACTAGAACAGAACTAGAACAGAACTAGAACAGAACTAGAACGGAACTAGAACAGAACTAGAGCATCTTCTACACGGGACTCTCATCTTTAACATAGACATTAGATCTTCTAGTAAAGAGAGTTATCTTCTCTTTAAGACCACCAATTTTAACTAAATCTAAGGGTATTTTGAAAAACTAAAAATAGCTAAATAACAAGTACACAAAAATTAGCATTTTTATATCAAAAGAGAAACTTAATTTCAAATTATTGTTCTAATGCATATTTCCAGTTTAATTTTTGACGAGTGTCCCTGACATTATTATTCTACATTTACCTACAAATACTTAAATTTGCAACTGAGTAATTAATGGCTTTACTGGTTTTGTTTGTTTATCTGAATTTATCACATAACACACAGTAATGGGGAATGACAACAAACAAAACCACAAGTGCTGACAAAAGGTAAAATTACAATAAAAAAATTATATAATTTTACGTAATTTTAATTATAGTTCTACCATAATAATTTAAAAATTATACTACAATGCAATTGTTAATTCAATTTTATTGAAATTGAGAAACATTTGTATTCAAAACTTTTACTTTTCATTTCATTGTTGATCATGTAAAGAATTTACGTCTACACTTGGACATGTATCTAAAGGTATATAAATAAGTAAGTAAAAACTGTTTAAGAGTGGATGATAAACTTGAAG